TCATTGCCGGTGCTGACCCCAACGCCATCGACGCTTCCAACCGCCACCCCGTCGACCTTATCCCAACTTCACTCATCTTCTCCTCCCTACGTTCCTCCCTTTTAGCGGTTCTCAATAACGGCTCTCCACCCATCACTCCTTTGGATTGAGCATCTTCTTCCTCTTCTCCTTAAGAAAAGAAAAAGGGCTACCCAATAGATTCCTCCATTCATGACATCAAGAGCAGCATAACAATAAAATTATTCAAAACAATCTCAAGCTTTGGTGTTTCCCCTGTTTTTTCCGCCTATGCCCCGTAACCAAAACAAGTCCATTCTTCTTCAGCCCAGGTTTTTTTAATAGATTTATAATCATTTAAGTTTTTAATGTTGATGGTGATCTTCTCCATTAGTTGTTTAGGATAAACTTCTCAAGCTTCTTTAACTATTTTGTGTTTGTAAATTTAGAGATGCATAATAGGTGTTTGATGAAATACCATTTATCAAACTTAAAGAAGCTTGAGAAATTTTGTGTTTCTCAAGCTTCCTCATATTTATCACCATCATGTAAGATTTGCATTTTGTAAAAGATATAGGGCATAGCAATATAAATCAACTGATAATCCCATCATTTAATTTGACTTTTCAATTTTCATTTAGAACATAAGAAACCACCTGATAGTTGCAGTTCTTAAACGTAGCTGCAGTATAAACAAGCTACTACTTCCGATTTCTTGTTAAAAACTGAGAGCAGGATTAGAATTTATCGGTAAATAAGGATTCTCGGTGCGCGATTCTGTATGAGAGCAAAGTCGGAGAATAAAAAATGAGAGAAAAGTCGTAGAATAAAAAATGAGAAGAGATGCAAGTATGAAGATATATTACCAAAAATCAAATTCCCAATCAGTTCACAATTATGTGTTGGAATTGGCCAGAGAAGACGCAAGCTACTAGGTTTGCTGGAGAAGAAGATCGGGATTAGCAAGCTGTGCGATTCAAACCGAGAGAGGGAGAAGGAATGTCTATGTCGCCATTTGCTGGAGAAGACGATCGGGATGGAAATGGCGAACTGTGCGATTCCCACGCTCTTTAGCGATTTGGAGTTGATGGGGAGGTGAGGGAGTGTTATTTTTTATGAGATAAGTGTTTTCAGGTGGTATATAGGTAAATAGAAAAGTTTAGGTGTTTAATAGATAAATAGATTTGTTTTAAATGTTAGGTATGTAAAAATCCCAAAAAAAACAGCTGTCATCCGTGACAAAAGGCTCCATAAAATCTGAAAATGGATAGGAAATTACACCCACGGACTTTTCGTACACGTGTCGTATTTATGTTGTAGGGTACAAGTCGGTGGATAAACCTCAGTGAGTTATTGAAACTATTAAGACTAATCAACTTTGGTCTGGATTAGGACAGCAGTAATGCTCTCTTAGATCTGGTATAATGAGTCAGCTACTCAGCTTTAAAAGAGGTAGGGGTATGCCCGTACGAGCCTTCGGGGCTCATCGGCCAGCCTCGCGCGGCGAAGAAGGGGAGAGCGGCGAGAGGTGGGGGGAGAAAGAATAATTGTTAGAGACGAGGGGGAATCTCGTTTATCACGCCTTTTGAGCTCCTCCGCGCCCTGACTTCTTATTTATTAATAGATTTATGGTTTTTCATGTGTTTTCTCTGTTACTGATTTGGAGGAAGGTGGTCTCAGTGAGGGTTATGGAGATCTGGTGATTTTGATCTGTTCAGGGTAGATCTGGCTATCAAGTTGATTTCGTTTTCGTTCTCGACGTCTGCAGGGAGATCTGGTGGTCGAGGGCTCTTCGTCGAGAAGTATATATCTGGTGAGGACAAATTGTTTGCCAAGATTTTGTGATTTCTAAGGCATTATTGTGCTGTTTTGTAATTGATGGTGTGAGGTAGATCTGGTATGCATGCTATTTGGAGACTGAGGGTGCTTTGTTCTTTTGATATAATTTGATGTAATTGATCTTGAGCGATATTACTCTCTAGAAATCTGTTTGAGTGCTTTTATTCGATCGGTTTCGATTGAATTATATGTGGGCTTTCTTTTGAATCATGCAAGGAAAAGCTTCTTTATCTACCTGGGATGCGAGGCTGAGCCTGACTGGACTGTTATTCTCTTTGTTTTTTTTTTCTCTCTACTGATTATTCATTTTTTTAATAGTTGAATTAGAGCGATTATTGCTGAATGTTGTTATATCTGCTAGCTTCAAGGAATTCAACCGGTTACCCATTGTTAGGTGATAAAAAATTTGTGCTTTGCATTCTTAGAAAAGGCCTTGATTTTGTTTAGGATTTTCAAAAAGTTAGTTTGACACTGTTCTTTCCTAAGCGAATGTGTTGTTAAACTGCAGGCACGCTGAGATTCTTATTATAGTTATTTCAAAAGGGTAATCTTCTATCCTTTAAGCTAGTACTTCTTGATATATTAATACTACGAACGAACACAAAAGAATGAATGAGAACTCACCTGAAGAGTACAGAATATATTTATTTTTTATTCAGATTTCAATGATTGTTCCTATGCCTTCAGCAGCTTAATTTCCACTATTTTTCAGGGTTACAGTTAAATGACATAATGACATTGAAATAGCAGGCCAGACTATAATAAAGATAGAAATAAACAAATTTACCTTCAATATATATACCACATAATATAGCTCTATCATATTTTGTGGAATCAAAATGGAGCGATTGAATCCTTAATAAAGAGGGGTGGCCTTTAGCTAACTCAACACATAGTTGAATTTGTATAAGTTGGAAAAAGATCGCTAGTAGTATAGAAGTCTACAATAATGATTAGTTGATGCACCCTAATAATTAGTCGTTGTCTCACCATTTCAATACCTGGTTAGTCTTGATTCACTTGTATTGACAATTTGGCATTTTTTGCTTTTGCAGTGCCTATGTTTTAGAAATGAACTCTATTATATTTCTGAGTTTTTTTTCATGCTTGGTTCAATTGATATTCTGTAAAATTGTAAAATTAGGCATTGAGAGTTGACAAATTCTTATTATTATAATATTTCTTTTCCTGCATTAAACTATACTAATTTAGTTAGTTGCTCTTAAGCTCCTTATTTGTCACCTGCTCAATATTTAAGCTTGATCTTAAATTATGATTTATTTCTTATACTAACCATTTACTAATTCATAATTAATCATTTTTAATTCTTTTGTTAAGTATTTGTATATATCCTCTATTCCTCTTTTATCATTACAATACTTGGATTAATTTCAAGTTAACCTACCTATGCATGAATTATTGGATTAATATACTATTTTAATTATTAACTAATCCCAAATTAAACTTAGTATCTCTTGATAATTAAACCATTTATCCTAAAAATTTATAATTCCTTGTTTATTAGAGTAACTCATGCCCAAATAAAATAATTTGTTATCCTAAATTTAATTAATTGGTAGTTATCCTAATGAGTAAACTTCATTTATCTTCAATCATTTATACATTAGTTAGCATAAAAATAATCATTATTATCATAATATTATAGGAACTATCTTGGGCTTAGTTCTATGAATAGTCTAGGACAGGGTTACGGGTGCTTTTTGGCCCTATATATTTGAGAAACACTTGTATAACTATCTATGACATTGAAATGTTAATCTTAGATTCTTCCAACTATGTACACAGTACACTAAAGAAGTTTTGCTACCCCCAACTTTTTGGTGAGCTTTTGGCCATCTTTTATTTGAAATTCTAGCTTCACCATTCTTACATTACTGTGTTGAGTGTTATTTAAGGTTGATTATATTTTTTGCAAGTAATCATTTGCAGCTCGTATTTTCAATACTAAGTATTCTATATTAATTCCATCTATTAACCTGATTGTTGTATCTTTTTCATTCCTTTTTACTTCACAAACTACCAAAGTATATTTCTATCTCAACTTTAATAAATGTCTCTGATGTAGAACCCGAAGGAAAAAAAAAGGGACATTTGAGATTTTAATTTCTAGCTTTAATTGAGATCAAAATATTAGGAATAATTAAATCAAATCAAATCCAATTTGAAACCTAATTAGATTTAATTTAAGTAATTTTCCTAAAATAGGCTATCTTAAATTAGGAAAGTATTTCAAATTCAAAATTACGTAAAATTTGAAATCAAATATTTTTCTAACTTAAATCGTTTGATAAAAGGAAAGTAATCAAAGGGGAATTCAAATTTTAGAGGCAAAGAGGAAGAAGGGGGGAAAGGGGCCGGTGATATTAAAAGGGGGAGGAGAGGTTATGGAAAGATAATTTAAAAAGGACTTTGATTGGAACCTTAAATTAGGAAGTAATATTTAAATCACATCCCATTAAATAATTAACTGAACCTAATTCAAATACTTTCCTAAAATAAGAATCCTAATTTTAGAAACAAAATTCAAATTCATATTAATTTGAATTTTAAATTTCAATTTGTTACTAAGTTAGAAGGGCTAAAATAGGAAAGGGCTTTGAATGTGAAGGGAGATTTGTGTAGCCAAGGGGAAAGAAGGTGGCCGACAGTTTGGTGAGACCGGCGGCTAGGTAGGTTGGAGGGGGGTGTTGGAGGTGGACCTAAGGCCGTGGGGAGGGAGAAGGGGAGGCCGATTTTGTGGAAGTGGAAGGGTTTATGGGAGAATCGGCCGGTGGAAAGTGGGGGATTTTGGCCGGCGGTCAAGGGAGGAGGAGAAAAGGATTTAGGGAAAGAAAGATATAACCGCGAGCCCGGACACATCCTGCAACTGACGGGTACTACGTTGCCCTTCATCAAAGGACTTCAGGCCACGAGCTCGGACACATCCTGTGGCTGATGGAAGCTATGAATTCCTCCTATAGGAATCTCACCCAAGGTTCTTCCCAAAGAACACAAGTGCAAACACAAAATTATATTAATCATCCAACATTATATTACACAAGCAAGGGCCTCTATATATAAGTCTAAGAAACTAAAACAATATACATATGCCCCTAGGGTTTACATAGAACGACCCTCTTAAGTAAGGGTAAAAAGGAAAATTTATAATAAAAATAAAAATTGCAAATAACAAATTAAGATAAGGTTGAATGATCTCGGACGTAGATGGTCGTCTCATCATTTGAAAATCTTCATGATCGGATGTCCGCATCAGTCTCTCTCACCATCCTTCTAACACAAATATTTGTGTGTATAACTCTTAATTTGATCATACATTCACCTTAATATTTTCATTTGTAATATGGCTATTATCAACTTTTTTAGTCTAACATCACTCTAAATTAGTGATTTAATTGTAGTTTAATATAATGACTTATTTGCCTATATGATGTGAAACAAATCTGGAGTTACTTAGGTAAATTAAAGATAGCGAATTAACAAAGTGTTTCCATAATAAATTTATTACTTATAACAGTGATTGACCCTTAGAATTCTTAGTTTTTAACTTGCTTAGGCAAAGAAGAGCGAAGTCGGTTAACCAAACAATTTAAGAAAACGCAAAGAGCAATTGTAAAACTACGATGATAAACAAGAATCCGCGATTTAATAAAGAGAACTTTCACCATTGGAGCCCATACACTCAACTAGTCTAGGTTTTAGCGGAAGAAGAGTCTCCACATTAGAACCGAGGTCACTCCGAGGAAGAAGGAGCCTAAGATCGTCGTTCTTGGATAGGTGGCCAGAGTGATGGAGGATGATGGTCGTCCAAGGATGATCCAACGTCTCTTTGATCTTTGCTCGTTGATCATATCCACTAAGGTGTAATGGATACGGTTGATGTAATCTTCAATCGTGTCGTCGAAATCAAAGCCCACATCAAAGAACGGTGATTGGAGGATGTCAACTTGATCTCACTCGTCATGTACGAATCCAAAGTTCCATTCAAATTCGGGGTCCGCCATGCATGGTGGTAGTGAGTATGAAGACAAAGAGGGGAGGTGAGGGAGCAAACCGTGAGCAAATAGAGAGAGGAGGGTCACGGGTTGGAGAGGGGCTAGGGGCGGGTGGAGCTATGGGGGAGAAAGGCTTAAAATCTGAGATTTAATTCAGATTTCCAAAATTGGCGGACTCTTAATTTCAATTTCAGAATTTTGAATTTGAAATTAAGATTAGGAGGGAAGGGTTAATGGTGTATTAAAGAAGCTTAAAAGGGGAGAGATATGAGGGAGGGCTGGCCATGTAGAGAGGGGAGAGGTTGGAGATTTAAGTAGGTGGGGACCACAATTAATTAATCAAAATTTGAAATTTTGATTTCAGATTTTAATTATATCATGTAACTCCCTACTTTAAATACAATTAGGGGGGATTTGAATTTAAAAAAAAATTTTAACTCCCCTTAATTAATTCTCTAATTTAATTGACTCAATTAGGAAGGTCATTAAGGGAGGGAAATTCAAATTGCAAGGGAGGCCAAAGGGGGCCGGCGGTATGGACTCACGGTGGCCGGCGGCAAGGGGATCTGCGGGCGGCCGGCGGGTGGCTGGGCGGATGGCTGGCTGGCGGGAGGAGCTCTGCAGGCCAGCGGCCTGGATGGCTCCAAGGGGGGTCAGCGGCAACAAGGTGAGGGGAAGGGAAAGGTGAAAATCTGAGGATTTTCGTTGCTTTGATTCCACTCACCTCGTTTATCTTCAACACTCGATCTCCACACAATAATCTTTGGACTAAATCTAGAACTCACAAAGAGATCTAGTTTTCCCGTCGAACTCACTAAGAGATCTAAGAGAAGTGCACTCACAAAGAGAACAAAGGGAAATATCTTTCATTCATCAAAACTCCAATTACAATGCATGAGGCCTCATATAAATAGGCCAAAATGAAATAACAAGAAATGACACAAATGCTCTTCCGGGCTACATAAGCGACTCAATGCCCATAAGGGCAAAAGCGGAAAAACATCAAAATAAAATAAACTACTACATAAAATGACAAAATACAACTCATGCTTGTGGCCGTCGATCTCCGGCGTCTCATAAAGGTACATGTGTCGAAAATGCAGACGATGTCCTCATCACTATATGTTTCTATGGTATTCTTTTATCATCTATACAATTTAGCCACTTCATTTCAGTAACGTTTCTTTCATTTTAGAAATGATTTCATCATTTGTTTTCTCTTTTTTATTTAGAATAGGTCTAAGCATATCAAACTTAGTTTTCTATTGATCTCATAGTACTTATAAATAATTATTGGTTTTACACTCACCAAAATTAAGTGTTGCAGAGACCTGCAATGTTTTATGATGCATAATGTTAGACATTAAAAGAGACGGATAAAATTAGTTTAAGTGTTGCAGAGATGAGGATGCTCAGGTGGATGAGTGACGTTATGCTTAGAGACAAAATGAGAAGCAAGTATATACGTGAAAAGGTTGGAGTAGCTCCAATGGTACATAAGATTAGATATAGTTGTCTTAGATGGTTTGGTCACATAAAAAGTCAGCCTTCTGATTACCCGGTTAGGAGATTAGATGTATTAGATCTGACTTATGTTAACAAAGATAGAGATAGGTCTAAAAAGTCTTAGTTAGAAAATATAAAAAATGACATTTTCTTATTAGATTTAAATGAGCATTTGACCCTTAATAGAACACAATGAAGAAAAAGGATTCATACAGCCGACCCAACGATCCCATGTAGTGAGATAAATGCTTAATATTTTTGTTGTTGTTACACACCAAAATTGTATATTTTGTACTTATCTTGATTTTTTAAAATTCCTATAACTATGAAACATGGTGTATCTATTAGCATTATATTCTCTATAAAAATCATATCATGGGCCTCACTATTGTTCATCTTTTACATGCATTGGCATAACCAATGCAAAATGATGGACATTTTAATTTGATCTTTGATTTAGCGCATTCCTGTTAAAATACTCTTTAGTTACTCTTTAACTATTTTTAAATGCTTGTGATTACATGGTCACTTTTATTATTCATAGATTCAATGTAATTGATACTTTTTTACGACTAAATGATTCTTTGTAGTGCTCAATCATATGCTTTTTAATGCTGGTAAAAATTATTTCATGATTTTTTCATTTCTTTATTTTTTTCCATTGATAACTTATTCCATTAATTTCCTTTTTAGTAGATTTTTCTTTCATTAATTAAATGGTATTTTAGATACTTACATGATATTCCTAAGCCTATTTTTAGTACTCTCACATAGCTGTATTAATTCTTAACATGACACAAACGAAGGCCTTCCGATGACCCGGTTAGGAAAGTTGAGGTTTTAGATTTGTCTTATGTTAAGAAAGGTTGAGATAAACCTAAAAAGACTTGATTAGAAAATATTAGAAATGATCTTTCTTTATTAGATTTAAATGAGAATTTGACTTTTAATAGGACACAACGACAAAAAAAGGATTCATGTAGTCAACCACACGTAGCGGGACAAAGGCTTGATGTTGTTGTTGTTGTATTTATAGTTATTTGGATTTCATTGATAATTATTTTAAATAAACTAATAAACTACAACATTACTCACAAATCTCTAATTTCCATACTTAAATCTTGAGTTTTTATCATATTTTTGTAAAGCTAAATTCTATTTTCAGCTACTATTTGTATGAATTCGATAATCAACTATTAATCACCTTATTTAAGTAGAATTAGCCTAATTTTTAATCCTAATTACCCACCAGTTCCTAATTATCATAATTAATATTTGATTATCCCATATTTCTTAGTTGCATCTTTGCTCAATTTAATATTTAACTCCATACTAATTTAGTTTTGATACTTTATTCTTTTTATTGGTGTCATCAATTCTTAGTTATCTCTTGTAAGATAGCCCATTGCTTAGATATTGTAATATGAACTACGAATAATGTGAAAATTGGCTTTAATAAGGACTTAATCCATATAATAATAGTTTTCTTTGAATTTTTTCATCATTTAATACCAAAGAATAAAATGCATTATCTTAATGGGTTTTTTGGTTGTAAGTATTATTAGTGTTAAGTAGAGTAGATGTGGGAACTATTGAAATTTTCAGAATTTTCTAGATAAAGTTTTAAAGAAAAGCACTATGGAGTAAAATAACAGTGTATTTATAATTCACTATTTAGCAATATTTAAAAAACTAGATTGAATTGGCCGCTCAATCGATTGTATTGGGAACTGGTATGCTGATCGGTCTGCTAATTTCATATAATTTGTTTAGCAGCGAACAGTTCAACTAGTTAACTGGCAAATTGGTGCCATTTTTTAAAAACTGGTTGGCTTATTTGCTATCTCTTTTATATAATTAAATAAAAATTTAATAGAGAATATTTAAATTAATATATTTTAATTTTAAGATGAGTATTAAATTTATATGTGAACTAATTTTATTTTAAATATGAATTAAATATAAAAATTGAATTTGTTGAAATTATAAATTATATAATATATTATGTATATATAATTTTACCTATTTTTTAATCATAAATTTACATTATTACACAATTATTATATCATTATTATGTCTTTTAAATAATTTAATATTTATTACGTCATTTGGTTTAACCTCGGTCGAACTATTAAACCTTTAACTTCTCATTCTTTAAACCATGCTATTTAGTTCATTTTTAATGTATTTGAATTTGCTGGATATGAGAAAATTTCAAATAGAACTTTTGTGTGAATCGCCATTGGCAGCTGTTTACCATCACCCTTTACTTGCCCCCTAGTGTTATTGCTATTATCATTTTCGTTGTCATCACCCACCATCGATCTCCTTCCACTTTCACCCACCCTACCTTGCCTCCATCACACTGCCAATCACCTCCCCTTTGCTGCCATCATCTTATTGTCTTAATTTTACTTCAAACTAATCAGAAAAAAGTAATTTCTTGCATTTGTAGTGTATGTGAACCAAACTATTCAAAAATTATTTTCAATACTATATTTATTTTACATTATATTCATTTTACTCTACAATTATCTTTTAGCAAAATAAACCATCCCTTAGATTATCCTTTGCTCGCACTAGATAGACTAACTCTGTTAAGTATTCATTTTTTTTAAATCTTTTTTCTTTAGGGCTATTTGGTTGCCTAAAAAAGACATGTAGTATAAAAGGAATGCAGTGTAAAATGCATGCGGTGTAAAAATAATAATTTGGAGTTGTTTGAATGTGTGTAAAAGGAATGCATGACTTTACTTTTTTTGTTTGGTATGAATTAAAGTGAATGCAATGTAAAGTGTAAAAAAGTTGTGCATGGGGTGGTCGACGGCTGGTGGCGGCCGACGGTGTTGGGCGGCAGGTGGTGGCGACGAGCTATGGCCGGTAGTGGGCAGAAGCGACGGCGGCGGGTGGTAGTGGCGGTAGAAGGTGCCAGCGGTGGTAGGTGACAGGTGGTAGCAGCGGGAGGTAGTGGCAGCAGGAGGTAGTGGTGGCAGGCGGTGGCTAACAGCAACGGTGGTCGGCGGTGGCTGACAGCGGGTGGCGGTGGCCGTTGGCAGTGCTCAAGCAAGCTTTGGAGCAGTGTAAATAGTTCTCGCTTAAAACTGGGCGAGAAGGTTTTACTTGAAAAATGAACTAGAATGGAATACACTGCATTCACTTTTATTTACCTTGGATTTTTTTTTTCTTTTTTCATCCAACCAAACACCGAACATCTCAAAACCCCTGCATTTACTTTACTTTAAACTCACTTTACTTCCAATCAAACAACCCCCTAGACGACATTTGTTAATCTTTCTTAGAAGTTAAACAACCGTGTAGGTGTCTGCAAATTTCTTTTGTAAAATCCCATGATCTATTATTTAATCATCTTAGTCTTTCAAAATGTTTGTTTTGTTTTGCATGCATAAATCTATGATTAAACAAATTAGTACCATTTAACTGTTCATCTTGCTTTTTCTGTACCCCATTTCTTAATGATACTGGCATCCATCCCAGGTTGTTACCCAATGGAACAGTGCCCTGTAACTTTCGGTAGTAATATGAGCCAACTGCACGGATTTGTGTGTGATCCTAAGACGATGTATTTCGAAAATAGTAGCAAAGCATTTAGTAGGGCTGAAGTCATCTGTCCGCGGCCCTATCATGCATCAAGGATCCCAATGTTCATGGAGGGAGTTAACAAATTCTGTCCTAAGTCAAAGAGGTATGCTGCTGTTTTTCTTTGTTCATGGCCTTTGCTCTGCAAGTTCAATTTGATTCAGTTTGGATTGTTAGGTTCGATGCTTTATTTGCTGCATAGGTGAGAAAAAACTAGATAGAATGTTGAACTGGGAATTGTAGTGTTTTTTATGCTTTGTCTTTGCTGTGCCGTTTGCCTTGTTTAGGTCTTTTAGATATAGCATGCCAGAAGTTTCTTTAGTTGTACTGATGATACTTCTGGCAACCTAAACTTCAATTATATTTACAAATAAGTTTAGCTATTTATTTTTTATCATTGTGGATAAGATTTCTGTTAATGGTTCTGACATAAGCAGTTTTATATATTGTATTCCATCTTCTCACATAGGATTGCTTTGAGTTTCATTTAAACGACCGAAAATTGTCTTGCAGATCTTAAACTGATGACTTGTCTTCGCTGAAGTGGTCTTATGAAGTTCCACTTACATTTAGCTATGAAGTTCTACTTTCCATCTGTTTTTTTTTTTATTTTTTTTTTATTTTTTTATTATTGCTTAATTTAGGAAATGATAGCTTGTGCTTCATTTTCAATTTGCTCTTACAAGATTTTGAGCAATTTGCCTTGTATTGAACGTAGTTCATGGGTAACTTAGCTTCTCTGTCATTTCTTTTGATTTTTTTAAAAGCAGTTTGATGTTTGCGGTCCTTTTTTATTACCGTCTTTATGTTCTTTTTAATATTTTGATCAGCATTGAAAATAGTATTTGAATTTAATTCTTATGTTCTCTGTTTCTTTTATTTTTAGATATGTGCATACAAATAGTAAGAACAAGGATGCATTGCTGGACTGTTCCTTTAGCTTATGCATTCTCATAGGGATTATAGGCAACTGAATTGTGATTTTTGATTTTATAGCCGAGTTTTTTATCCTGATGGTTTTCGTATATTTTGAGTCGCGCTAGATGTCTTCCGGTCATACTCATTTTTCATTATTTTGAATTTTTTAAAGATTTGAGTACTTGAATGCTCTTTTTTTTTAAGAATAAATTACGCTTAGTTCCCAAGTTTTAAGCCATTAAAGATTAAGCGCCTCATATTTTAAGAAAGTTAAAATTGAATCCCTAATTTTTTTCCGGCTGTCTAGGTATCTTATGTAAATTGAATCATGCTTGCCTTTTATTTACTTGCATCAAGATGTTAGGGTAGCATGTAATTCAATTTACAATTCTAAAGTTTCTAAAAACTTAATGTAAAAGTGTAGAGGAGAATATGGGAAGGGAGAGGTAGTTGCTGAGATAGCCGAAGAGGCGTAGGAGTAAAGGGTTTGGGGGTAGCTGCTGAAGGGGATGTTTCATCATTAAAGTCGTCAGTGATATGCATCCTAAGCGTGATCACTGAACCCATGCGAAGTTGGAATTTATTGGAGTGACTCGATCATTAGTTGCTAGAATATTAGGTAGTTTGGTTGCATCTTATAGTTTACAAAAATGTAGATGTGATTTCCCTTTTTTGTAATTTTTAAACAGTACATGCTTTATAGATTAGCGTCTTAAGGTAGTCATAACCCGATAAGTTTGCATTGTTATGTTGGTATGGGTTTACCTTTTTATATTATGGGATATGATTTTTTATGATTGACATTTTTATCTATTGATTGAATTGGGGGGACCTTCTTTGTACCTCATGTGTGGTTTTCTTTCTGCCCAACTCTAGACGGTACTTTTCTCAGTGTACACTATGCCTTTCTTTTTTCTTGAGAAAATGCTTTCAGAACTCATGAATGCTTTCTGTATTTCAGTGAATGTCTTATAGGTTGGAAGATTGCATTTGGATTTGCTTTTCCTTGATAGTCTTGCTTGTGTGTTGGGGTAGAAAACCATGCAACACAAACAAGAAAGAGAGAATGCAACGGAAAAAATGTACACAAGGGTTTTACATGGAAAGATCTCAAACATGAAAAAACCTCGGAGTTGGACAACATAAATAAATTCACTATGAAAATTTGGGAGAAATAGTATTCTCTCTTCATGGTTGCACTGTTCTCTAACAAACTAACAACAAAAAGAAAACATATTAAAATCACTATGGGATGTAACCCTTAATGAAAAATAAGAAAGAAAACTGTCAGCTTGTCTCTCAACGCCGGGGTCTGGTGTGTTGCAATGATCCCTGGCAACGCTGCAATGCTCCGCTTTTTGTCTGCCTCAGCGCTTGGGTATACAGTGTCGCAGGGCTATACAATTGTATGTAAAAAATTCAGGAGCAAAGCACCTGAACCCAAGCAGGTGGTGGACCTCTACAACCCTCCCGAAAGATAGGCCGAGGGAATTGAGATCTAAAGCAACAATTCAACTCGATTAATCAATACAATCATATTTCATACGAAACTATATTTCATACGAAAATAACATTTTGTTTGTTGTTTTAAAGGTGTTGTCTTTGAACTTGGAATGAACTCTGAACTCGTGATCTTCAGAGTCAAAACTAACTGTAGCATGCCACATTATTCTGTTTATATCTGGTTTTAATGATCACATAGTCTTCAAAAAATTTTCTTGTTATGTTTGATGCCTTTGGGTATGGTTTTTCTTCCCATCAATTATTGCTATCTGCAGTGATTTTATTATTGGGAATTTAGAATCGCAACTTATTTTAATTTTTATTCTATTTCAGCATCTTACCAAAGCAAAAAGAAGACTCTAGTTTTGAATTTCGTGATATCATACTAAACAAGGTGAGATTCAGAACTTTTTTTAAATTTTTTCCGTTTGCAAGTATGTTTGAATTTCATTCCACTGTTCGAATGCAGGATGACCAATATGGCGATTTAGATGGGGGTGCGCAAATGGTTTTCTTTTGTGGCTCACCTCCGGTAAGGTCCCGTAACCCAGTTGCACGTGATGAACAGTTTACCAAGCAAACCAAGCCCATGTTTTCTCCACTGCCAGTTAATTCCTTTGGAGTGGGAAAGTCTTGTGCAAGGGTTGATAGAGCCTCCCCAATTTGTGGCTCCTTCAGTGGAAACCCAAAAGTCAGAGTTGAGGGTTTTACTTGCAAGAAGTCTGATTCCCGCTCTGCAGTTTCTGCCCTTGCCTAACATAACTTTGACCATAGATTTTTTAGCTATTTGTATAAAGTTTCCTGTGCTGGGAGAAAATCAAGTTGCTTCTCCCCTCTCCTTCTACAAAGAAAAACTCTCGCTGTTGATGATCTACCATATTTCAGGGTCTACAAGGGCTTTGCGTTGTGTACATATTGTAGCTTTTCCACTTAAAGTAGTACAATGAGTCTTGTTATGGCATTTCCAAAGTTGTTAGCATGGAATCTGAATTCAGTTCTGTTGTGGAGTTTATATAACTATGTAAATAGTTCTAGTCTGTACCAAATATCTAGTCTCACAGAATGAGTCACCCTTCTCCGTAATGCTGTCTGCTGATCATTTATACAATGACCAATTTTGGCAGCTGAGTGTCTTTAAAAATGTAATTAAATTGTATAGTATTTCATATTGTTTGAAATGAATCTCTTTATCCAGATGTTCAATGTTTTTTTTTTTTTCTGTTACCACTTGGTGTTTTGTGCTAGAATTCAACTTCACATTTGGCACCTTTTGATGATCTACTTAGATTGATGTGTTTTTGTTGTTGGGATTGAAGTTTCGTTTTATATTTTTGATTAATAGAAATTGAGCTGTTTTTTATCTGCTCCGTGGGCACTATAGGGTTGTTTCGGCAATGTCATTGGACTCTGTTTAAAAATAAAAATAAAAACACCTATCAAATAGTTTATTTAGTCAAATTGTATTGCTTCGATTGAGTTTTATATATGCAGTTCCTGTTTGAACTGAAAGCTTACTAAAATAATCTGACAGTTGAGTAATTATGTATCATCAACTGTGAATCCATACCAATCTCAGGTTCTTCAATCATGTACAGAATAATGAACATGTCCGACTCTGATAAAACCGTGGAACGACCACTTTCGTTTACATCCGTTTGTTAATTTATGCCTTTATATATGCTCTTTATTCATGACTAAAAGAGCTGGTGTTCTTTTCATTCATGAGTGCAAGCTACAACTGCTTCAGAAGGCAGGTGAGATTTGGAGCAAAGGTTTGATGATTTTGTCTCCCGTACTTAGCAATGCTTTCAAAACTCAAGCAAAACTAGTTACTGCTAATGGATATGCTACTAACAGAACTTGATTTGTAGAAGCATCAAATATCAACTCTGAAAGTGGTGATGCCATCATTGTGCCATCAGCATGTGGCTTATATGCAGGAAATCAGGTTTAAAATAAGCTCAAATGCTCAGCAGTTCTTATGATTCTGGTTTAGCACATAACCTTTTCTTGTTCATTGGCCATGGAGCAAGATTGAAATGCTTGGTCATGGAGAGATTTTCTGACTTGTAGGACCACTGATGGTTTCATGAGGACGGTATGTATTAATTCCATTATATCTTCCTGTTCCAACTTGATCGGACAAAAAAATATGGCTGTGATGTGTTCCTCCCTGAATTCTCAGCTCTAGTTTATGGTAGCTCTTACAAGTCGTGCTGCTTAGGGAAGTAGAATCGAGTATGAATATGATAGTTGATCAGTTAAATTGCATTTATCATATGTTTACATAATTAAGTGGCTCCTTTTTTCTCCAAAATATGATAATGTGTGCATGGTTAATTCATGTTAGGGTAGTTCCTACATTTTTTCATATTTCCTGGGTCATTTCTAGTAAGCAGCAGCATTTCAGCTGTTGTTGCACTTGGCACATATCTAGATTCTTCTGAAAAGCATGTATTCATTCCCCCTTGCTCATGCAATTATGATATCGTAGAAGCTGTAGTACTGCGTAATTTAACTTGTTTATCTCATACGTAACATGCAGATCCCAATATTTTTAGGGTCTATTTGGGGCGGCTGTTATTTTTTATCAAGTTGCTTGTGAAATTTTTGTGAGAAAAATAAGTTAGGTTTCGTTTGGGACGGCTGTTTTTTGTATTAAAAAAGACATTAGTTGAGCGACTAAGGTTGAAGGACCGTAGTCGACAGGTGACATATGTCAAAAAGATTGTGGTTGGTGTGCGACGGGGGTTAGAAGGATTGTAGTATGACGACTGAGGTCGAAGAACTGTACTTGACGGGCGATGAAGATCAAAAGGATCATAGTCGGGCAATGGTGGTCTAAGGATAGTAGTTGGCGTGTTATGAAAGTCGGAAGGACCTTAGTTAGGCGATGGTAGATTGATGATCGTTGTTGGGTGGCAGAGGTTGATGGGACCATTGTAGAGGAATGGTGGTTGAAAAAACAGTCTTCGACGGGTGATAAAGGTTAAAAGGATTGTCGTTGTCGAGTGATAGGGGTTGGAGGGAACGTAGTCGGGTCTGACAACGGTAAGGGTTCTCTAGTAGTGGTGCTTAGGTAAAGCTATAAGATTCTTCAAGCTTCAAACCTCTCTTGAATCTCCAACCCAAGCTCTAAACCCCACAAAGGTCCCTCTTATGTAGGGAGAGAAGGTCTATTTATAGATTTCAGAGTGACATGCTTCGTAAATATAAATAAGATCTAAGGAAAAATTCAGAATGCTCTATTGGACGACTTATATTGACTCCCTTAATGAAATACAAATGAAGCAATCGTGGGCTCGTTGGATTTGTCTTGTCGAGCCACTCAATTCAACTATAAGCATGTAATATTTAGAGAACATTTGATTATCCAATTAATATTCTGAAGCTTCCAAATATGCTTCAAGCCAATGATTTGGGCCCATTTGGGCTTGAATTTGACCTATTTTAGTTTCATTGGGTTCATCTCATCGAGACATTCAGTTTGACTATAAGTTTGCTGAAATCGGAGTTCAGATGATCTCACTTTTAATTTTGAAAGTTTCCAATTCGATATGCCTCACAATTCGTGCTCTATCTAGACGATTTTTGGTGACACATCAAACATATACATAAATTGAATATCTTTATGTTTTATTTAATATTAAAATCTAACTTTTAAATTGAATAAATTGTATAAAAAATTAATTCAATGCAATTATGTTTGACATGGTTATTTAATATTCATGCATTTTAGTGCTTTCTTGCATTATAAGAAAATATACTTGATTGCTTATGTATTAAAAATTAAAAAATTTTGCTGGTAATTTATTTCAAATAAAAAAAACTAATTATTTTAATGCTGAATAGATTGCTAAATGAAAATATAAACTATCCAATATCATGCATTACATATTCCTAAAATATTCCATTAAAGAAGAAGAGGAAGAATAAAATATGTATGTCTTTTATTAAATAAGTATAAAATGATAACTTTTATGCATCCATGCGTACCGTGCATTCATATGCATTCCATCATATCTTGCATAAATTAAGAAGATGAAATAGAAGTTCTGATTTATTAATAATTATTTCTTAACATGATTAAGCTTGAAAACTACCTTTGGTTGAATGGTTGAGGGCCCATTTGCACATCATAAGATGACTTGAGTGCCAAAATCCATAGGAGGAAATATGGTTAGAAATTTTTACTTTCTATTTTATTTATATTTTAACTACTTTATAGTAATTTTATTAATTTACATTAATTGTATTAGAGCAACATGATAAAACATCTCATACTTAAATTTATTGTTGCGAACTATGTAGCCTAGCAGCTGCCATCTATTCTTATAAATAGACCTGCACTCTCATGTAGTGAGATCATTCTTTAATAAGAATAAGTATTTATAGAAGTTTTATCCTGTTGCTCTAATAGATTGCTCCGTGATTCTCATTTATTGATGTTATATGATTACCTGTAATGATGATAAGTCTTATGATTGTGAATCACTCACATATTAAATTCACCTAAAATTAAATGAAAATACATTCAGACTACTTTTTTAGTAGGAGCAACAATTGAATATTTGATTCATCACGATTGATATGAATAATAATATGTAAGATTCTAGCCATGTAGATGCATGATAGATGCATGCATCATATTATGAATTTATGAGTTTGAATATAGTCTAGATGTATTTTAGGAAACATTATTCTTCTCAGTCTAGCCAAATTTATGATGTGTTTGCCTCTCCTCAATTTGAATTTGATTGACCTCTCATCAATCTAGCCAACATTATCCTTCTTTCTTTCTTAGATCATTATCCCTTAGGATTATTTATCATCATCCCACTCTCTTTTATAGTTTTATGGGTTATAGAATTTCCACTCTTTGACAACCTTTGATAATTTTAGATTTTTTTGTCATGAATTTTCTAATGTTCCAAATTATAAGTCCCATCATTTATTAGGCTATCTTCCTTGGCTTTTAATTACTCGTGTTCATAAAGCATTATTATTTCTAAAAATTAAAATAAAAGAGCTTCTTATAAAAAGAATGATTCATTCATTCTTAGTCATGGGGTTATTATGATCACAATACAATGATTGTATCTCATGCATCCTAAGACTCTACCCATATACTTTACTACCTCATGGTTCCACATCCATTGCACATCCTAAGCCCTAGTATGAGGATTCAAAATCCTCACATACATCAAGTTTTTTATTTATTTGATTATGCCTAAATGCTTATAGATTTTGGCTTATCTTTATTTTAAGTCATTTTGTTCTTTATTTTAAGAAATCAATCACCATTTTATAAACACAAGTAGAATATAAGTTGTTGCGGATTAAGAAATTTGTGGCGATAAAATGAAAAGATTTTATGTCTTAGAGATGCACAAAAATTCAACTTACAAATATATAATTAAAATCAAAGAGAAATATCATAATTTTTACGTAGAAAATCATAAAAAATGAAAAAATTATTAGGCTATGCCCAATTGAAATGATTCTAATAATGTTTGAATAGGTTATAAGAATCGACCCGTTCTTCAACTCATTGACAATAAGAATACAATGTATTCAAAAATGGACCAAATTTTAGATGGGTATTCTTCGTCTTAATTGAATAATAGATACTAAAAATTTGGTAGTAATAGTCGAGAGAATATTCGATAGAGGTCTGATGATAATTGAGGATCAGATGATAATTAGCAGAAGGATGAAAGTTAGAAGGCAGTCGGTGGTTGAGAAGAGATCAAAAGCCCAACAGTTACAGTCAGAGCCAGGAAGAGATCCGACGGTGACCAACAAATGGGAGGTAATCTGACGATAATCAATGATTGAGAAGTGATCTTGCAGTGGTTAATGGCAAGAGAGCTCCCAAAATTTTCTCCTATCTTCCTCTCTCCTATCATGTGAAAAATGAGGGTCCATTTATAGTTTTTTAGTAGTGACATGACAAATAAATATAAAGAAGATCAATGATAAGTTTGGAGTGTTCCATCAGATGATGCATACCGATTCTCTTGATTATCTAGTATTTATTAAGTATTTAATTATCTTATTATTGATGTCAAAATTGAGTGATCTTAGGCTCGTTGAATTCATCTCGTCGATCCGCTAGATTCAACTATAAGCATGTTATATTTGAATATCATTTGATCATCTAATTAATACTCTGAAGATTCAAATAATGCTTTGATCCTTTAATTTGTGCT